TGTGATCTTCTCTAATCTTATAAGAATCAAACGTCGTGTTTTTGACATACCGAAACAGGACCGGCAAACCTGCGGCATGAAATTGCGAGACACAAAACATTCCCGCACCAGCCCTAAATCTCGCGATGCATAACCCGTTGCGGCTGCGGGGGAGCGGGGCGAGGCAGGAAGCCGCAGGACATCCGACACGTACAGGAAGCAGAACCAGTTCCAAAGCCTTTGTCCCTCGCAACCTCCCGTCTCCAATGCCTCCCCCCCCCCCCCCTCACAACTTCCCCAGCACCTCTCGCTTGCCCAACCGCATTCCTCCGCAACCTTCGAGCGCTCACACCGTCTCCACGACGCACGTTAATGACTTCTTTAAAAAAACAAACCGCCTTCTAAGATACCAAACTATCAGAGCGACATCAATCCGATTCAAAGCATCGGTGACTTAAATTAAATACAATAGCAGCTATAAATCTCAGCTTTATTGCTACACACATTCGTAATACGAATACCGGCCTATTATGAATGCCAATAAAGGTATGGACTGTCCGTGATTACTTGAAAAAACATTATTACAACGCGAAACACGTATCGGTATCTTGTTAACATATCGATTCGGAAGTTCATTGGCTCATCGTTATTCGGGAGGCAAGGCTTGTTAAAAAATAAATATCTACCCATCTTAATAGAATCTGCAAATACGTTCACACAAATTATGCACTACGGACATGGTAAGGAGGCGGATAATCCGGTGATGCTATATTTAACCGAGCGTTGCTACGATCACGAATATTGTTCGAGTAATTTGTACGATTTGTCTTATGCAAATAACTTGACGGCGAACATCTGAGTTCATATTGTGAGCAAACGCTATACATAGCCGTTCCGCATCTATGTGCCGGCATGCGGAAATATTTCAATAATCTACGTGCTATTTTATAATTTAAAAAGTTAAACATAACAAACGAGAAGTTATTTTTCACTCATAAAATGCTCGTGGAAACTACTCATCCGTATTGCCTACGCGAATAGTCACAAACAACTCGCAGACGAATTACGAGTTTCTAAATACGTTCGGGCAATTTCACTCTATAAATAAATCGGTCGAAGTCGTCAGATATATGATTAACTCGGCCGATGTCTGCGTGAAACGGAAAAACGTCGCCGCCCGAAATAGCAGGCCGAATGTTTCCGACTCGTATTCCTCGGCTCGTGGAAATGATGCCTAAAGACGGTCGGCGCGCGCGCAACTTCCGGTGCGCGGGTAAACATGGCGGCGGCGGCGTTGGCGCGCCAACATGGCGGAGTTTCCGGCCGCGCTGATTCACGTGCGATGGCTGGCTCCGGATTGCTCACTGCATTTCTGTTTTGTGATTCAGCCTTACGCAACACGTAGGTGTCCACGAAACGTTATGGAATCCGTTGTCTGGCATGTGCTCAAGGTTTCGCTGTTGATTCGCGCTGCCCGCTAGTCTACCCGTGGTGTAGACTTTGAAACTAGTATATCTGAATGTACAGACAATGATCCATCATATAAATTTATAGACAACAGTATTAAAATCAACGTTCATCCAAAACCGACATTGTTTTGTGTATATTGCCAGTGCAAAGGACAACTTTATATTTTTGGGCGTCCAATTGCTAACAATAGCAAAAAAAATCTGTATATCTTTCTGTTCTTAAATCTATTTATCTTTCTATTATAAAATCTTTTTGTTCTTAATACTTCATTTAATTATGACACAATGATTCTTCATAACAATATGGAACAGAGGAAATTTAAGCATTGTCTACTCTTGTAATAACATACTCAACGTTAGCACAGAAAAATACTTACAAATACGGAAACAGAATTAGGGCAAAGTATAGATTACTAACTGATCGCATTTGAACCGGATTCTAGACTCGAGCAACGGTGCTCTAGACAAGTTATCTGACGTCATGTAAGAAATTCAAACATTTGCAGAAAAACCATGTTTGGCAGGGATTAAAACTGTCCATAATGAAACAGGATTCAGCACAGCTTAAAAAATAATGTATGTACAATTAAAATGTCTTTTACGTTGCATTTATAATAGAATAATTGAATATTTATGCTAACGATTGGTTTTATTTCACAATAAAAGATCCAAGTAAAAATTAATAGTACACTTTTTTATCATATTGCAATACAGTCAATGTTTAAATGTTTCATTTCTTCATTTAAAATCATACCAGTTTATAAAATACACAAAAATATCAATGTTTATTATTATCTGGGCTAGAACTTAATTTTAATCTGGATTAACTAAAATTTTGCCTGGAAAATAAACTTAAAAGCAATTTAAGCAAGAAATACATAAATCTGACAATATAAAGGGAATATCATAGAGGTAATTAAAAAATGAGAGATAATACAGTTATGAGATTTCTTATTAAATAACCATATCGCATGCATAAGCAATGGCGCATATTTTGGCACTGCCTAGATAAGTTTTATTGACGCAGCGAGGCGAAGGCAAACGGGCAAGGTTGTCGCACCGTCGGCCGTGGCACTGAACTTGCTTTCTTCGGCCAGTGTTGCGCCTCTGCACCTCTCGGCGGCCAACCGTGAACCGTCTCATTAAATAACTGGCGACTGGCGAGGTCGGCCGAGGCTCACGAAAAAAAAAACGAAATCTTTGCCGCGAATTCGCGATTCGAAAAGCAAAACGTGGCTGTGGTTTTATATGAATTAGTGATTAATTTTGCAAAAAAAAATGTTTTACGACGTTTATTTTTTACTTTAAGGTATATTTAATTTATGATACCCATTATGGTAAAACGCATTTTATGTCGCTCTAAATCTTACGCACATATATGGTAACAAAGCTAAAATTTCTCCTCATTCCTTTATAATTAGTATAGATTACAGTAAATCACAAGCGTTGTAAATTAATGGAACTAAAAAACGTGCAAAAGCTAAAATTTCAACTTAAATGTATAGTTTAAACATGTAGAAGAAGTACGAAAAGATTGTCGCCGCTGTGGGAATCGGACCCACGTCTTCGGCAATCTTTTCCTACTTTTCTACAAATTGCTTCAAATGCTAAATAACAATGTAGAAGGAAGGCGTTAAGATTTTCGTCGCTGTGGCTATCAGCCGTTTAGCTCAGTGGCTAGAGCGTCAGGCCGCGAATGCCGAAGACGTGGGTTCGATTCCCACAGCGGCGACATTCTTTTCGTACTTTTTCTACATGTTTTAACGTTCAATCTTAATGTATGGTATTGTACTTAGGAATGATTAGCACTATAAAAAACTTTAAAAATTTAAATGTATAGTTGCAAATTATAGTAACACGTTTGGAAATAAATGAGCAACATGAACGAGGGGTGAAAAAAAGGGAAAGAGCTTTTTTTTTATTTGCACTTGGATCAACACAAAGATACAGGCCATTTATGAGTAGATAATACTCTTCCCACGTGGGAATGGAATTTACAATCGATCTGCCGAAATCATTCGCTCGAGCACGACATCCGTCGAGTGGTCATCGGTATTCTGTTTTAAAACAATGATACCTATGTGCGAAACACATGCCTACAGCTCATGCAAATTGTCCGGCGAGATTAACCAACCACTTTAACTGTACGTAAATTAACATTTATCTTTATGAGAAAAGTTGTCAAGCGATGTTTTTCTTTTTTTTTATTAAAAACGTTGCCCTTACTTTAGGATAAGATGATCCTGTGTGGTAAGGACGTTTTACAAACATTAATTTCACGCGGACAAACACCCAGATGCGAAACAACTATCTGTGGGTCACACAAATAGTTGTCCCGTGTGCAAATCAAACCCACGACCCCGGACGCCGAATGCAATACCTTGGCAACTGCGCCACGGAGTCTACTATGTTAAATGAACACCGCCGACCATGGGCATATTCAACATCGGATGGCTTGCTGATGCGTTTAAATCTTTAAAACCGCTTATTTTCGGTGTCTACAATGGGATATGATGGTGTAGAAGAAACTTCCTTGGTACGGTATTGTACTTAGGAATGTAGGAACATAAATACAGAGTTACGTTATATTTTCTTTACAGTTTTTACGGTGGTAGAGCCACGCAGTAGCCTCGGCTGTTGCACGAATTGGCAGCCTCGTGCGGGTAAGTACCACGACCTCACAGAAGACCGGCGTAAAGTGGAAGTATAAAACTTTCATGACGTTTCGTCTGGTGAGTGGGGTGGCCGGAGCCCAAATTTCAAAAGGTTGTTAACACATCCAAACCTAGGGTGTCCGAACCGTCAGCTCGTTTGGCAACTTTTCACATAAAAAAATTGGGCTCCGATTACCTCACCCACCGGACGAAACGCCAAAGTTTAATACTTACACCACACGCCGGTCTTCCGTGAGGCCGCGGTGCTTCCCCGCACGAGCCTGCCCATTCGCACAAAAGCAGAAGCTGTTATGTGAAACTACCACAGTAAAAACTGTAAAGAAAATACGACGTAACTCTGTATATATTCCTAAGTACAATACCGTACCAAGGAAGTTTCTTCTACACCATCATATCCCATTGTAGACACCGAAAATAAGAGTTTAAGCGAATGCCGAGAAGGTGCAAGGCAACATTACACCCATTAACTGACCACGTCAGTCGTCGAAGTCAAGACAAGCCGTAGCCAGAGCTCACCTACTATGAAAAATCGCGTACCACATACACCTTTCATTTATTGGTGACCCTGACTAGAAGAAAGGAACCCCTTTAACACCTTCGGGCTAGGCTAAGTGCAATTTGGGAAGATCTTCTACGAAAGCGCATCCCAAACGAGGCAAAATCCCCTAGTAAAGATAGCCTGTCTTTTACACTGTCTATGCCATATTTTACACTGTCCACGTCCATATACTACAACGCCCACTATCTACGTCGCCATCGACAAATCGACCTGAGTGGGACATGTTGCATTATAGCTGAACGCTAATATCGATGATCCTCCCATAGTCACCGTATATGCCGAGAGGGGAATAGGCTTAACTTTATTACAAAAGACATCATGACTGCGGCCAAGGCCATTTCCACTACCCGTTTACCACCTCACTACCGCGCGATGCTTATGACGATGATGTTCGATCAGAGATATACGTGTACAACTAGCATACTTTGTAAGTAGCAACAAGACGAGCGTCCCGACCCAGTCCGAAGCGGCGTTCGTGCGCTGCACCCAGCCGACGGTCCCATAAAAGTCCAATCGATATCTCGACAGATCAAGCCCGAGCCTCGTTAAGGCCTTGCACTAGCACCGGTGTCATCAGCCTCGGTGCACCTTTAGAACCATTAGCGCGTCTCGGCGCGTCCCCGCGCGTCCGCATTCCCGCTTCCGCGCGGCTCATCCCGCTTCGCGACCCGGCCCTGGCTCCCGTTAGCCGCCCGTTACGCCGCCTGACCCGGATACGGCCACCTAAACGCGCCGACTGGAAAAACTGCCGCGCCGCGCCGCCGCGCCGTACGGTACACGCGCGACGGCAGGCGAACGCGCGACACAATGGCGCCCTGGTTCCGCGGAACGGGAGTCACTAGCGTCGCCTTGGAGGCTGATAAACGATGGACTCAACCAACAATCCAATACCAAGTGTATTGGTAGTGGCGCCTTGTCTCCTCCTGGACCATCGTAAACAACAATATATACCTGTCAAATCCACAGTATGGATACTGCATTCAGAGGTGAACCTGCATCCATCGATTTCCCGATACTTCTTACCTAAGAGAAAATAAGAACTAATGTAAGAAGTCATTTTGCACTACTCGGTCGATACATTCAGATTCCGTTTTTCACTAAATTTTCTGCTCACAAATTGCCTAATAGCCCCTGTTCAAATGTGGCCTTTGCCCAGCAGTGAGACATAATTATATAGTCTGTTAGTTTACGTCCGTACCGTTACACGATCTGTTGCTTACAAAGGCAATTATGGTGCCGTAAAGTGCGACACCAACCCGCCTGTCTACGGTGGCACCGCAGGGGCAATTAAAAGTGCAAGTAGAGTGGAGTGAGCCCGTTGGCCTGAGATGCCACTTATCTAGCGGTTCTCAGCCATCAGCGCTACCTATGAAACACGCCGCGGCATACAAGCCTATTTGTGGGTGAATCACGCGCGGCATCCAATCGCGTATCGGGCGATCCGCGGCGTAACATATTAGAGGCACAGGAAAATCATCGAAGAGCAAGAGACTACATGTCTATTAAGTCGAAAGCCTTTCGTACTTTTTGGGAAGTGAAGACCTCTATAGGCACGTCGAACACATTGAAAATGGAAACAAATCAATAAACCGTCACGCTCAGGCACATACCTATGCATATACAGATGTTTCATGTGTCAGATGTATCATTCGTTTTCCTAAACAGCGCAATAAATGTAAAGTTTAATAATAGGTATATTAATATTTGGATTAAAAAATTACTAAGAAAAATACTTCCTACAAAACATTTCTTAACAACCCAAAAATAAATATTAATAATAATAATAATTTAGGACACATTTTTTTACATCGTTTTCTAGTCCCAAACTAAACAACGCTTGTACTATAGGTACAAGATAACCGAAAAATATACTTAAACATACTTTTATATTGTAAATAAATACATATTATACAGCACTTAGTTTACTTCGAACTTTATTTGCCAGATACGGAAGATTAACAGAAGATTGTGAAACGCCAACGATGACTTTATTCGTCAGGTAAGTGGCAAGTAGCTTATTCGGGACTTTATTTGGACATTGTGAAACAGACCCTTAGTCTGGGAAAGACGTTTCACTCTTGCCTTGAAAACAGTCAGATTGTCCTCGCTGTGAACTGCGCTCCTGTCTGTTCTGTTCCAGAATATATGGCTTTTACATGGATAAGCATTATAGAATTTGAATACAATGAAAATTAACAGAACTGCTATTAATTTTTAATTTCACGAAATAACTTCAAAATCTACATCAATATTTTTATTAAATGTAGCTTTTCGTTTGGTTAGTGAGCTAATAAATATGTTTGTAGATAATCACGTAAAAAAATTACTAATAGTAACGTTTCTAATCGTCGATTATTACATCCTTTTTGTAATTTTATTGATATTACTTTCATTAATTATCAAAACACAAACTTGCCTAATATTTAAGAATAGATCTTGTATCTTGTATTAACTGATGTTTTTGCTTTCAGTCCCGAGACCATTAAAGCTTCATCTGACGCAGAACTAGTGGGCTAGCCAGAACCCACGGGTTTGGTACCTCCGCTGTGGGTAGGGCCACGCATGTGCTCATGCGTGCGTTTAACTATGGTGTGTCATCTAAGGGCCATCGCGGTCGCGGTTCGGACCGAAACTCCGATGGCCGTCGACTGCAATTAGCTAATCAGTGGCTGGGAGCGGTGAGAACCGCCCCGGAACGCGGGTGTACCTTGTGTACGCGTTGTGTTGGTCCCGCCGTGCTCGGAGGCGAGGGCGAACTAGTGTGTTTGTTGTTGCACTAACTGTGGGTGTATTGTTATCTGGCGGGACCCCCCGCGGTCGGTCCGACGTATCTAAGTCCCCTTCCTCGACCAGGTCGATGAGGACGTTTCGCGGGCGACGCTTGTTGACGTTCGCGTTTGTGTCGGGTTGGTAATTTGCTTCGCTTACCACAAGAGGGTTGGGATGATGTTCGGCTCTATCGAAGAACCGTTTGGTCAGGTCTTTAAAATATTCGCGATTCGTCGGGAGTCTGCAATCGCTGTGCAGGTCGACGTTGCGTTGATACCAATGCGCACCGGTTGCGCGGCGGATGAACTTATTTTGTACTATTTGCAACTTGTACAAGCGAGTAGGGTGCGTGTAGGCGAAGGTCATGCATGCGTAGGACATAATAGGTCGTACGCAGGTCTTATATAATAATAATTTGTGCCTTAAGGGCATTTTACTTTTAGCGTTAGTTAAATTGTGTAGCCGGCCGGCGACGAACGCAACTCTATTATAAACGTTATTAATGTGCGTAGTAAATGACATACCCGAGTCGAAAGTGACTCCTAAGTATTTGATTTAAAAATAGAAATGCTCTTAACAACCGGAACCAAAGTCCATTTGTTGACATAAAAATCGACCAGTTCTTTTGAATTATCTAACGATAATAATAGTACATCGTTATATATATCGTTGTCTTAATAGTTTTAAATTACAAAGACTATTTGAAATGTTTTAGTGTGATATTACTATTCTATTTATACATTGTTTAATTCAATGACAAAATTTAGGTATGTAGGTATATACTTATATTCCAACTTAAAATAAATTCAAGGGGCAGACGAATTGGGACAGTCATGGATAATCGGAACTCCAAAGAACAAAAGTATTGGGAGCATTTAACATCTTAGGTTTATCGAGAAATACAATGTTTACTTATTTCTTTCACCTTAAAGCAATCGATGTTCTTACACTGCGAAACCATATTGGGACAACGCACCAATTATGTTGGGATGATTTTTAATGAAAATTTGTTCTGTATTTTTATGATATCTTCCTAATGGGTTACATTCCGATAACTAGTATTTTGCATAATATTTCTTCCAAAGTTAGCTTGCTCCCATATAAGCGCGTCGACAAAAAAAGAATGCAAATATTTGAATATATTTTGGCAAACAGGAACTAACGAAACGCCTTAACACGAGGAGTAACAAAGGCATAAAAAACCACTAAAAGGATTTTGCGTTGTTTAAATAATGTATCTATAATCTATCCAGCTTATTTGTAATAATGGCGAATCAATAATGACCAATAAATAAAATACAGGAAAGAACCTGTTTTTCCCACAAATAGTGTCATTTCAATCACATCCCATTTGCACTGAATTAAAACAAAATTCTAAACAATTCGGGACGTTGAAGCTTACCTCGCAAATACACAAATTCAAATACAGAAATTGGACAGCGTGAAGGTAAGAATACTTTATAATAATGAATGAGCACAATTGAAGGGAGTCAATCTTCCTTGACTATATAGTGGGAAGATGTATGAAGGCAAGACGACAATGGCCCCGGTCATCCAGTGAAATTATTAATTGCTCTCACAGATACGACAAAGAAGCGGAAATATAAAACTTCTACGTCGGACCCCCGCAGTGCAACCGCTCTACCTGACTCTTGGCCCGGCTATTGTGTCCCGATTCAAAAGACGATATTTACCTTCGAATCTCTGTGGGAAATTGCGCAAGTTCAATGTCGAATGCTTCGATACAGTCGACAATTGCCTCTATTATAGTTACAATGTTACCAGTAAACATCCAAATATCCACATATTTGATCTAGCACGTTTAAATTTTAATCGCGATCCAATACCTCTGTAAAGTAATAAGTTAAGAAGTCTTATTTTTAATTAAGATATGTTCTATATAATAAATATAATAAATGCGTACAGTATATAATCCAGTATATAATATGTTAAAAAATGTAAAAAATGTTCCCACTGTAAAAAAATCTACGATAACCACAACGGCGTCTTTTGAACTTTTCTAACGGCATTGATATCCAGTAGCCTATAGTTGGCGAAAAAAAAAGTAAAGTGTTCGTAACAACCCTTTTAATCATTTTTGTACCTTGTAAACATAATCTATGATAAACTGAACCGTTATCCAAGGGATCTTGAACATCATTATGTATCAACAATAGGCTTTTGTAAAAAGGTAAAATAGCAATAAAAAAATATAAAGAACTGGTTAGCTAGTTTGCGGAAAAGGGTATTTTAGGAAAAGAAAGATCCTGCTTTTAATCTCTCTTATCGCGTTACTGATATTCATCTCTTGAAAGAAAAATATATAATATACCGTTATAGCAAAAAGCTTATGTTCTTTTAAACAGATAATTTCTGAAGCATTCCAAACACATATCTGTCACATGTGTACCTACCTACTACACTTGCGTTCGCCATACAAACTTCATTTCAGGGCATAATATTACAAAGATAACGAATAAAAAAAAATTCTCAACCTCATCCCGACAAAATTTAGGTACAGGTATAAAATACTCGGAGGAGACTCGGATCGGATGAATTAGACAACTTAATCGGTTACGTTGGTAGGGCCACGCAGCAGCCTCGGCTGTTGCACGAATTTGCAGGCTCGTCCGGGTAAGTACCACGACCTCACAGAAGACCGGCGTAAAATGGAAGTACGAATACTTTCGCGTTTTGTCTGGTGAGTGAGGTGGCCGGAGCCCAATTTACAAAAAGGTTGTCATCGCATCTGCAACCCTCGGGTGTAGCAGTTGTCCATGGGCGGCGGTATTCACTTAACATCAGGTGAACCGTCTGTTGGTTTGGAAACTTTTTATATAAAAAAAATATATTCCTAACCTAACCATAAGCAGGTTAAGAGAATGATACATAAAATCATAATAATCTTCATAATTTTATCACAAAATCTGCTAAAGAGAAGCTACCTAATACTTACAGATGGTCAGATCAATATTGTCCACAGAAAACATACATTACATACATACATTCATAGTACATTCTTCTCGGTCACTCTATAGCTAAGCGATTTATAAAAAGTATTTTAATTCAG